TTCCATGCCCCTTCTCCTCGGAAGGCTTTGCTGTCTCCCGGATGGCCGGACCCTCTCCCTTTCGACCCGTAGGTGCTTGGTGTGACCTCCTTCCTGGCCCTGCCCCACTCTGCTTGTAGCACATCAAGTCCAGCCCCAGCCGGGCCAGCAGCTCATGAAGGTGGATGGAGCCCCGAGCCCTTCAGCATCTCTGAGAGCCTAAGAGAAGCGGCGCATCTGCAGACCTTGCACATCAGCTGCGTGCACGGATCCATCCCATCTCTGCTTTGGGCGGGACTCTCTCAGTGTGGCCACACTGGGTGCGGCTGACAGGGTGGCCGGGCAGGGAGGTGTGCTGCTGAGCAGTTAACAGGGAGGGGGTGCGGGGGAGAGGAACCACGTAATTGCTGCTTTGTCCACGCAGGTGGTTGCATTGACACATCGTTGAAAACATGGTCCTCAGGGGGAAGAAGACTCCCTTGGCTGGGCTGAGCTTGCCTGGCGCCCTCGTTTCTGACCTATCTGAGGACAGGATGGAGTGTCCCGTCTCCGTGGGCAGGGAGGAGCACAGTGCCTGGCGAGGGGAGGAGGGCGTAGGGAGGAGGGTGTAGGGAGGAGGGTGCGGGGATTCTGGAAGAAAACTGAATCCAATAGAAAAGGCAGCGGCCGGGCCCTGCAGGCTGAGCATGTTCTCAGCAGCTGAGCACGAGGACATGGGCCCGGAGCAAGGTGGCTGTTATGAACGAGAAGGAGGCAGCCTGGTGGGCTTCTCCTGCCTGTGCCTCTAGGTCCCCTTCCCTCGGCCATCACAGCTCCCCGACTGCCTGGAAGAGCATCCCCATCCACCCCCCTCTCCCAGCTGCTTTGGGACTCATCAAACTTCGTTTCCAGGGGAAACAGCAACTGGAATGAATTGCCCCCTACGCTGTCCAGCTGGCCGGGGGCTGTGACTAGAGCTCCATCCTCCGCTCACTGGGGAGCCTGTGAGTGGCTGGACTTGGGGAGCACCCTGGGGCTGCAGCCGGGAGGTGGGGGCACCTGCTTACCAGAATGGTGGTGACGACCAGGGTGGTGTTGAAGAGACTGTTGGACGTGTTGGAGGCATAGAGGCCGCTGTCCATGCTGAGGCCATCTGCCACGTGCCACTGGCCAATCTGAGGAGACCAAGGAGAAAGGGCTGGGGAGAAAGGGCGGGACGGGGGACTGGCAGCTGGCGCTCAGGCCCTGCGGGTGCAAGAGCCAAGAGGGTGGGGCCCTCGCCCCAGGTAAGCCACAGAAGCTGGGAGATGCGGCCTGGCCTGCACAGCCAAGGGGCTAACCTGGGGTAATTTCCATGGGTTGGGGGCCAGAAAAGGGTGAAGAGACCTGAGGGAGGAAGGGAAGAAAGGGGCACAGGCTCAGGAGCGCTGGGAGAATAAGCGGAAAAGCAAGTCAGGAGTGGCATGTAGTGCAGGGATGTTCTCTCACACCAAAGGGAGTAGAACGTGCAGGTTCGCAGGTCTGGAGGCGGGAGTGAGCCACACAGCCTTTGCTCCCTCCGCCTGCAGTCGCTCGCTTCTCTGAGTGAGAGTGGGGGGGGGCGGGGAGCTGGGACCCCCAGGCCTTTAATGTTTGCTGAGGGGCTCGATGAATGAAGGAACCAGGGGAGGGAAGAGCCAGTTCCAGTCCGGGTTGGTTCCTCTGCCAGATGTGAGAACTCAGACAAGTGACTTAAACCTTTCCGAGTCTCCCTCTCTGTCTATAGATGGAGATGCAGGTTTTCTCTGTCCTCCTCTCAAGCCTCGTGTCCTGGAGGCGCCACTTTGCTGCATGTTGTACAGCAGCCCCAGAGCGCGGGTCGCAGCTGTGCAGCCTCGGAGAAGCGGCTGCACCTCTCTGAGCACGCTTCCTCACCTGCCACTGGGACTAATGAGAGAAACTTTACTGGGTGGTGGTGACATTGTATTTAATCCAACATTAATAAATGCAATTTTCTTTTTACTTCCCCCTTGTGTGTGTGTTTGTGTGTCTCTGTGTTTGCGCATGTATGTTTGTGTGTATGTCTGTGTGTGCCTCTGTGTGTGTGTTTGTGTGTCTCTCTGTGTATGTTTGTGTGTGTGTTTGTGTGTATATCTGTTGTGTCTCTGTGTGTTTGTATGTCTCTCTGTGTATGTTTGTGTGTGTGTTTGTGTGTATGTCTGTGTGTCTCTGTGTGTCTGTGTGTTTGTGTGTCTGTGTGTTTGCATGTGTGTTTGTGTGTATGTGTGTATGTTTGTATGTTTGTGTGTGTGTGTGTGTGTGTTACCAACATATTTCTACTAGCTGGAGCCCCTGGTGAATCATTTCTGTTGCTGAGAGTTGCAGGGGGCAGCCAGGAGAGAGAGGTGCGGCTGGCTAGAACACACCCCCGCCTTGCAGGCAGTGCCAGGCCCCAGCAGCAGCTTTCTTGGAAAACCCTTACATTTCCATGGATGCCGTGTGGCTCTGGCCACCGGAGCTGGGCTCAGGGTCCCTCCTGTGAAAGTGTCAGCATCAGTAGAGACCTGTCCCCCATGGGTCCTCATCTCCACCCGGAGGGGTCAGTGGTTAGTGAGCAGGACCATCTCCCTGATGTCACCGTAGAGACTGGAGAGGGCCGAGCTCGGACCTCCCTGGACCATCAGCTGGGGACTCCTGCCCACCTCTAGGGTCAGGTAGGAGCCTGGTGGTCTCCACAGGTGCTACTTTCCTCTGCCAAAGGGGAGAAGGCCCCAACCTCCTCCCCAGCCCCTGCGAGGGCGCCCCCTGGAGGGCTGAAGGGTCCTGTGCTCCTGTTCACCTGCCCTTCCCAAGACTGTCTCCTGAAGATCCGCACAGGTGCAGGGAGCCGGTCCATCCTTACTGTTTCAAGGGACCTGGCATATATGGCATACTGTTCTTAATATATTTGCTCACCTTCTTGGCACTCTGTGTTTTAACCAAGGTCACCTCTCCGAGAAAGGTTGTTTCCCCAGGTAGAGATTTTCCCCTGAAGTTAGGGAGGGAATAAAACCCCTTC